GCTTCATGAACTGCTTCATGAACTGCTTAATGAACAGCTTCATGAACTGCTTCATGTGAAGCAGATGACCTTGACCTTCTACGCTTAATGCTCCGTAACTGTGTTGTTTTCCTGTTGATTTTTTTTTAATTGTCTCTTTTTGAGAAATCTTTACGTTCCAGATATAATTTTTCCTGCTCACAAGCACGTGCACATGTTTGCTTTCAGAACTTGTTAAAACGAAAGATTTTTCTAACCACTAGAACGAACACTACAAGCACCTAAAGGAAAATACATGGCAGGAATTGGAAAAATGCTGCTTTGACTGCCACCAGCTCAGTCCTTCTCAGATGGTGGGGCGCGCCCCCCTGGGGGGCCCGGAGCAATGTGTGTGTGTGTGTGGGGGGGGGGGGGGGGGGGGGGGGCGTGTGACCCGGGGAACATTTTGCGGCAGAGATTAGGTTTTATGTTTGTTTCTTTCACCATTCTCATTGTGTCAGGGTGCGTTCGGCAACTGTTTGCTAAAATCCGTCAACTCCCAGTTTTAATAATAATAAAGTAATGAACAAATATGTCTGTCCTGTTGTTTGGGAGCCATGATTCAATCATTGATTGAACAGTGTCGCTGTGACACCTCAGCTGGTGACGCTCGTCACCCACAGCACGCACGAGACAGAGAATGAACTCAAAGCGAGAGCGTTACCTGCCCCCCTTCCTCTTTTACGTTAACTATTTACTTTTAGTTTGTCAAAGCACAATTTTTGTGTGTTTTTAATACAGAAGTAATGTTTAATAAATGTTAGGACTCTATTCTTTACTAACAAGTCCTCCGCTCTGGACGCATTTCACCCACAGCGCAGCAACAAAGAGTATAAACTCAAAGCGAGAGCGACACCTGCCCCCTGCTTCCTCTTTCACATTGACAACATTTTTTAGTTTTATCGATTGTCAAAGTACAATTTTGATGTTTTTTTTATTTGTTGGAAAAACATATGTTTAGCAAATGTTAGGACTCTATTCTTTGCTAACAAAATATATTTTATGTCATTAAACAACTTGTCAGGTTCTTGTGAGCGCGTTCCCCTGGACTGATGCACTTTAAGCCTTTTCTGTTACAGACTATAAAACAATGTTAATAATCTTTGTTGTAAGTTGATCTATATTTCTTTCTTTCTTTAATGTTAATAAGGGTACAACGTTATGTAGAGGTGTATTTATAACAATTTTTTAGACAAATTATACTATTTACAGTCGCAGCGGAGAGTTGGGGGGGCGCGAAATGTTTTCTTCTTCCTGGGGGGGGCGTAACAGAAAATAATTGAGAAGCACTGCTACGCATTATGCAAATGTTTATCGTGTACAACAACAAAAGTATGGGCTCGTCCGGGATTTGAACCCGGGACCTCTCGCACCCGAAGCGAGAATCATACCCCTAGACCAACGAGCCACGTGTGTAGTGTATATGACACTATGGTTTTTATCTTCTATAAAGTGTAATTCCGAGAAAGAATATTTTATTTATTGTGTTATCGTTATTTTAACCAACACGCCAACTCTCCCTTTAACTCGTTACTCTGACAGATATAGACATACTTCCGTTGTGAGGCTCCTCTGACTAACACTACGATCATTCAGTTGATGTGGGGCTTCTACGGGTTAACGTACAACGTGCTGACATCACAGTTTGAGGGCGGAGTTACCGCCCTAAACAGGAAATCAATCGTCCGTCCGCTAAGAACGCCAGTTCAGTTTACTTGGTGATGCAAACAATTTTGTGACGCTCTGAAACTTGTTAGCATTAGCTTACAATTGTGACATGTTACAAACCGAAATCTTCACAGTTTTAGGTTGCGCTTTTACTATCTGCAGCAACATAGATTTATCCATGGTAAAAAGTTTTAAAGTTCGCGCTTTCGGAGGTTGCTAAGTTTAAAGTTAGCATGATGGGAGGCATGTCCAGAGGGACATGATTGATCCAGAACTTAAAGATAAAAACGGTATCAGAGACTGGACCCCTTTTAAATAAATGGAGGCTTCTATGGAACCAGCACAAAATCCTGATTTAAGGTAAGGTGGACTCAACAGGTGAAATTATGCAGAAGTGAAAAGTGTCTTGTACTTTGGTGTGTGTGTCTCCCAGCTCTGTCCTGTCCTCCTGTGAGCCAGAGCTTCAGGAGCTCATGAGGCAGATCGACATTATGATCAACCATCAAAAGAGGGAGTGGGAGGCTGAGGTCCGCGCCTTGGAGCTCAGGGTCAGGAGCAGAGAAGAAGAGCTGTTAACCTCCAACAACATCATTAACCAAAGGAACCTGGAGGTGAGCTGAGAGTTGTCCTTAACACATGCTCTGAGGGCTGCGCGCTGTTCGGGACTGCTGCTCAAAACTTTGCCGTTAACTAATGGACTCAAAGCTGTTTGTTAGCGAAATATCTGGAACCATTTTAATGAAACTTGGAGAAAGTATTTATTGAATGTCCAAAAACAGCTGATAAACTTATGAAGCTGCCACAGCTAAAGGAACTTCACCAGCACAAAAATATCTATAACTCTGTAAGTTTTACAGTTTTTGAGCTAACATTTGTTGTGGTAGTAGCTGAGAGTCCTTCACATTTACACATATTCTAAGTGCTAACAGACTATGCAATTCAATTCAGTTTATACCATACCACTTTATTTATAGAGCACTTAAAACAGCGACAAGGCCAACCAAAGTGCTGTACAGACAAAACAACAGGTAACACACAAAGCAATATACAAAATGAGGTAAATTAGAAATATAGACATAAAAAACGATGTAAAAGATAATGACGACAAACCAGTGTGGCGCATACAGGATCAAAACGGATCATCTGGTGTTGAAAGCGACTGAATAGTAGTGAGTTTTTAAACGGGACTTGAAAACCGAGAGGGAGGGGTTCTGTCTGACGAGCAGAGGTAACTCGTTCCAAAGTCTTGGTCCTGCTACTGAGAAGGCCCTGTCCCCTCTGCGCTTAAGACGAGTTCCTGGAACTGTGAGGAGCAACTGGTCCGCTGACCTCAGGGAACGTGGGACATACGGTTGTAGCAGATCAGAGAGATGGGGTGGGGGGGCGGAACTGTTCAGTGATTTGTAGACTTACATCAGTATTTTGAACTGGATTCGAAAGTGAACCGGTAGCCAGTGCAGTGAGGCCAAAACTAGTGTAATGTGCACTCTTTTGCCTGTACTGGTTAAAAATAGGGCTGCTGCATTCTGGCCCAGTTGTAGTCATGCAATGGAGGTCTGACTGATACCTGATACCATTTATTTATATAGTTTTCTCAGGGCACTGAACAAATACACTCGCATATATAAAAATTCAATTATTAACATTATTTGTCTAAGGGAGGGTAGCCAGCAGATTGCATTCAGTCTTCACTTTGTCGCAGTCTCCCATACTGAGCAAGCACAATGGCAGCAGTGGAAAGGAAAAACTCCCTCACAATGGGAAGAACCCTCCAGCAGAACCAGGCTCAGGATGAGCAGCCATCTGCTTCAGCTGGCTTTGAGAGGACAGGAAGGAGAAACAGACCAGAATGTACAACAACTCATACGACAGAAAACTGGACAAATAATTCAAGTTACAGAGAAAGACATTTTATTATGCTTCAATGATAAGGATGTGGATAAAGACTTGATCCACTTCACCCAACTTCTACTTCTCCTGGGAAAATTTCACACTCACAAGAAGAAGTGGTCAAAGCCAAACATAAACCAAGGAACTTTACTGGTACAGCACCACAATGAAGGGACTTGAAAACAAAAAGACAATGAAACCATCTCAGTTCTAGAAAAACTTAATGTGAATTTATCTATAGAACCTATAAATAGATTGTCTTGTTCTTTTTTATACTTGAACACTATTACCTTTGTACCTGTTAATAATATACCCCTGGCAGACAAATGTTTGTAATGTTGATAAAAACTTAATAATTAAAAAAGGTCCAGAATAGAGACGAGCGGGTCCCTCACTGGGAGGAAAGATAAAAAAAAAAAACATTTTAAGATAGAAATAATTAACTATTTATTTGTAACAATTCATTTGATGAAATGTGGTCAGTTTATCCTCCAGCAGTCTAAGCCTATAGCAGCATAACTAAGGGATAGCTCAGGAAACCCAAGCCAACCCTAACTATAGGATTTATCAAAAAGGAAAGACTTAGGGTGCATTCACACCAGCCTTGTTTAGTCCGCTTTAATCGAACTCTAGCTCGTTTTCCTAGAAAGTCCGGCTCGTTTAGGGAGGTGTGAACGCGCAATCGAACTCTGGCCCGGGCTAAAACCTAGGTCTCGGTCCGGTAGAAGAGAACTCCAGCGCGGTTCGAGTACAGTGTGAATGTAAACAGACCGGACCCGCTCCACAGGACAAACAAACACGCATTTCTCTGACCTTATATGGAGCCGTCAGCTGCCTTGTGTGAAAAACAATATTCTCCATGGTCTTCTGTCTCATCTTCTGCTCATGCTAAGTCCATTTTTGAAAAATGACAAAATATAACTGCTAAAACTTGATGCCACTTCGTTTTTATTTTTATTTACAGAAGATGAAGAAGACGTGTCTTCAGAGGTTTTTGTGTCGTTTCTTTCAGTAGTTCTTGGTGCAGCGCCCCCACAGGCGAGCGGGGGAACAGGTTGGTTCAACAGGTTGACTCGACTGCACAGTGCAGTGTGAATGCAAACGCACCAGCTCAAATGTAAACAAAAGCTCATGAATATTGGTCCCGAACCGAGTCTACCGGACTATCTGGTGTGAAAACGACCTTAAGCCCAGTTTTAAAACTGGACAATGTGTCATCCTCATGGACAGAAACTGGAAGTTGGTTCCACAAGAGAGGAGCCTGATAACTGAAAGATCTTCCTCCCATTCTGCGTTTGGAAACTCTGGGAACCACGAGTAAACCTGCAGTTTGAAAGTGAAGTGCTGTATTGCGATCTGTAATATGCAGTAGTGCACGAGTCCTTGCGTAACTTGTTCTGGTTCTACCAAAACGTTTATAACTCTGTAAAATCTTGAACTCTGGCATGTAAGGCAGAGGGTGACGGGCATCTCTTTAAGGAATGCTAGTCTTTTTTCTTCAGTAACATCACCTATCATTGCAGATTAAATTACTTCACAAGCAGCTTGAAAACATCGAGCCTAATCGCCACGAGTTAGTTTCCAAGTATGAGCAACAACTGCAGAAGGTCAAAGAAGAGGTGAATCAACTCGTTTAATGTGGAGCCCAACAGTCACTGTTTTTGTAAATCTGTCTTTATTCTTTTGTTTGTTAAAATCAATAATAATGCAGATCTTTCCTGTTTTGATCAAATCATGTGAACATGGTTGCTTTTAGCTGGACAAGTTAAAGAGAAGTTACCAGAAGCTTCAGCGCAAGCAGCTCAAGGATGCAAATACAGGAGCCAAAGAGACGATGCTTTCAAAGGTGAGCTGCCTGTGTGGATATCTTGTCCTGAGTTTTCTTTCCCACCATCTCCTGGTGTAGATTATTCATCCTCACACGTTCCTGCAGGAACAGCACCACAACCAGCTGACAACTCTGGAAGCCCAGAATAAGAGCCTGATGGAGGAGCTCTCTGACCTGAAAGTAAGAGCTTGTTGGTAACACGTGCTTTAAATCTGAAGCAGTGTCGTGTTTTTGGTTTTTTACTCGTGCAGTTTGATTTCCAGAACCAGCGGGCGTCATGGCAAGTGCACGGAGCGCACCGGGAGTGCTGTTCAGAGATGCAGCAGCTCCGTGCTCAACTGGAGAAGGCTCAGGCCACTCTGCACTCACAGGAGCTGCAACTGGAGCATCTGCAGCCGTTTGAGACGCTGAGCGGACCGTACCAGGAACATGTGAGAGCATCCTGTTTTTACAAAAACAAGAAAGAAACCCACTGTCTAATTAACAGCACAAGCTAAAAGGTTGTCTTAGTACATATTAATATACTCAATAATGACATATTTTTAAAATAAATCCTTGAAAAAGTCTGTAGTTTTCTAAATTACTTTTGCACAACTTGTGTGTTGGACTAAGATCCATTTTGTCTGGAGGTACGCAGGTACAGTCCTGGTAAAAAGGAAGTCCATCTTTCTAGCGCAGACTCAGCTCCAAGATATGGACCAGTCATTCACATTATGATAGAAGCACCAAAGTTGGCTCAAATATATTTTGATACATGCTGTCTAAAAACAGGACCAGTTCCATGAAATATTTTAAGGATGAGATTGAAGTCAACACCCTCTAAAAGATGAATGACCAGGTATTACGGACAGATGGTTCATAAATACAGCCGATACCCTTTAATTTCATTAATCCATACAATTAGGTTTGTTACATGTTTGGATGTCATTCATTATATTATGATCTTACTTTAAGGTCATATGGTGGAAATACGAATATTGAGAAGAAAGTTAGCTGGAGACTGGCTAGTTTATCTGGACTTTTTCATATTTATATATTTGTTTGAGTAATTCAAAGTGACAAACTGAGAAAGCCTCCATTTATTACCTCGTCCTGCAAATACTGATGTTAAATGGAAAATAAAAAGCAAAGATTCTCTCTCTTCTAGCTGATGGCATTTGCAGAAGTCAGAGTCAGAGTTTCTTTATTGTCATTCGCACCTCATGTGGTACATGTGGTGGAGCGAAATTATGTACACAGGGTCCCAGTTACATCCAACAATAAAATGTAAAAGACAAACAGTAATAACCTGTAAGATGTGAACTAAGAAAAACATCCACTAAATATACACTAAGCACTAATAACATAAAAACATTGAACATCAGCACAAACAAGAACATGAGTCTGTGTGAGCAGATGAGCACGCATGAACACATCAACATGAAACAGATCAGCAGCAACATGAAACAGATCAGCAGCAACATGAAACGGATCAGCAGCAACATGATGTGATTTTTTTCACAGTGATTATTCTGGTTAGAGATTCATGAGTCTAACAGCCTCAGGGTAGAAGCTGTTCCTCAGTCTAGTGGTTCTACACTTAATGCTCCTCAACCTCCTTCCCGAGGGGAGCGGGGCAAAAAGTGTGTGTGCTGGGTGAGTGAGGTCCTTCATAATGCAGGTGGCCCTCTTCCTGCATCTGGAGGTGTAGATGTCTGTGATGGTGGGTAGACTGACTCCAACATCTTCTGTGCAGCCTTCACCACTCTCTGCAAAGCTTTTCTTTCTGCAGCTGTGCAGCCTCCATGCCACACGTTGATGCTGGAGCACAGGATGCTCTCCACTGCACACCTGTAGAAGGAGGTGAGGACTGAGCTTCCCAGACCAGCTCGTCTCAGCCGTCTGAGGAAGTAGTCTCTGATGAGCTTTCTTGATCAGGCTGGTGGTGTTGTTGCTCCAGCTGAGGTTGTCATTCATGTGTACACCCAAGTACTTGTAGCTGGAGACCACTTCCACTGCAGATCCTCTTATGTCCAGAGGGGTGTAGGTGTGTCTGTTCCTTCTGAAGTCCACAATCATCTCCTTTGTCTTCTTCACATTGATGTGAAGGTTATTCTCTTTGCACCAGCTCTCCAGGTGTTCCACCTCTTGCCTGTAGCTGGACTCATCATTGTTTGTGATGCATCCCACCACCTCTGTATCAAGTGAGGCCAACCATAACTCAGCTTGTATTTTCTGTACCAGGACGACCACATCAGTGTCTACTGTGTGTGACCATGTCTTGTGATGAGTCGACCTCGTCCCTGAAAACTTTTATCGAACATATTTTGTGATGCACTGTCTTGTTTCTGGTCAGTGTTTTGTTGATGCCACTACCGTCAGTTCTTTCCAAATTTTTGTCCGTTGGATGTTTAACAAAGTTGAGTCAGGTCCTCTGGACAGATTAAAAAAAAAAATAATAATTTAAACATTGTTGAAATGTTAACTTTGTTATATTTTTCTACCTGGATTATTGAGCATGTATCAGGATGTTTCTTCAGATTGTCAAATTCTAGAAGCATTTCAAAATGTAGTCATGACTCTGTCCTTGCACTGACTGAGCAAATAAATTTAATGTTTATTTACACAATCCCCATCAGTTTCAACTTTTGATGGTGTTTCCTGTCTTTCCATAGATCCCATGATAACAATATTCACCTCTCGGGTTTATGTGTCAGAAGAAAATAAAGTGTTAATGAAACTGTCAGTTTCTAAAATGAATCAAGTTTAACCTAAAGTGTTGAAACACAGCAGATTGCTCCATTTCATTATTTAAAAACCAAACAAAGCCAACACAAAGATCTGTTTGTGACTAACCAAGTGTTTGCTGCTTCTGAAGGATGTAAATGTGCCGACCTTCAGATGCAGGAGTTTTCTCAGTTTGCTCCTCTGAAGCAAACAGGTGTGTTTGCACACACAGCTTTCACATTTTAACTTTATTTTGTTTAAGAAATAACAAAACACCGGACTTTGTAGCAGGTTTTTGTACAGCTTTAATTGACAGCAGTTTCATTAAGATCAGAAAACTTCACAAAAACTCAAACACACTGGAGAAAAATAAAAACAGCTCAGATCTGTAAAACTAGTTCACGTGAAGTAACTGATCACTTCAACAGCTACGTCTGTTCAACTTTGATCTAATTAGCTGCAAATCTGCTGTTCCACAGCTGCTGTCAGGACAGACGGAGCTCTACGCCACGCTGGACTCCCAGGATGCATTTCTGCACAGAAACAGTCAGGAGCACCAAAGCCTTTGTAATGAAGCTGCTGCACTCAAACAAGTGCTGCAAGCTAAAGAGCAGGTCATCCGGTGGGTGTTTACACAGCAGCACCGACACCAGGGGGCGCTCTCTAACAGGATGTTGTAGTGATGCAGTTGTGCACTGTTTTTGAGTGTGCAGCTCTCTGGAGGACTGCCTGGCAGCTCAGGGCTGCGCCACAGTGGAAACCCTCAGGAAGGAGCTGGAGACGACTGCAGCCAGGCTTCAGAGGGCTCAAACATGTGAGGTCCACCTGAAGGCAGAGCTCTCGCGTCTGAGAGAGAGGTGAACTCAACTGATGTAGAGAAACTAAACCATGAACAAGTTTAGGACCAGAGGTTACTTTATGTTCCCATCACCTTTCATGTCAGCGTGTTCATCTGTAAACTTCCTCTTGTCCCTCCCATAACTTCTGATCCATCCATCATCTTTACCCACTTCTTCCTTTTCGGGTCACGGGGGTCACTGGTGCCCATTTCCAGCAGTCACTGTGAAAGAGGAGGGGGACACCCTGGACAGGTCTCCAGTCCATCACAGGGACACATGGAGACAAATGAGACTAACAACCATTCACTCTCTCACTCGCACCTAGAGACAGTTCAGAGTTACCACTCAGACTAACATTTAATATAATTTAATAAAACTCGATACACACGCGTGTCATCACTAGACGGAGTGTTGCGAACACTTTTCACGCCCCCCAGCTTCAAGGTCTGTATAATACTTTGTCAACAGGGATAAATAATGTGCTGTACTCGTGATTTTTAAGTTACTTAGCTCTAGCAGCCATCTTGAATACAGTTACCTCCAAAGGTTAAATCAGTTGTAGAGAGATGACTAAAATATTTTGCTAACAGACAAATGCACACACCTGAGCTAAATCAGAATTGTCCTATTTCGTTCAGCAGTAGGTGATGATTGGTTTATGTTTCGTCTGTTTTCAATGTGTCTGTTGGTTCCTCTTGAAGACTGGAATATATGAGCAGACAGCAAGGTGAACACTCCAACCTGGAGCAGGAACTGAGGGACGTTACAGCAGCCCATGCCTCCTCTGCTGCTGAAATCACAAAGGTAAGACCGTTCTCCTAAAATACTCCACCCGTGTTCTGGTTTTTAGTCGTTTCCACCGGTGCTGGGTCCGCTCACGTCTCTCCTCTCTGGGTTTGCGCTGCAGCTCAAAGAGGAGCTTCAGAGAGCCAGGCAGACCCACAGCAGGGAGGTCGATGGGATGAGGAAGGAGGTGTTGAAGCTGACGGCTGAGCTGCACCAGCGAGACCTCACCATCGTGGCTCCGAGCGCCTCCTCGTCCAGCATCGAGCAGCAGCTGAGAGACGAGGTGGAGCGAGCCGAGCACAAGGCGGCTGAGCTTAAAGTGAGTTGAAGGCTGTCACTTGGAAAATAATCAACACGTAAATGTCAGGAAATTTACCGTATTTTACACCGTACAAATATAATGTGTCACTTCGCCATATACATCGCATCCATTATGCGTCACCGCTGACAACTTGGAAATGTGGGCCGGTGTGCCAAAAATCAAATGGCGGCTGCAGAAGCGTGCACGGGAGGACTTAAACAAGAATTTAACAATATTAACACTTAAAAACAATTATTTGTTTACTCAGAATTATAGTAAAGGTGTGTCTCAGTTTAACTTTTGCTTAATAAATGCACTTTGACAATCAAATCAGCTGCGTTTAAAAAGTCGATACGCAGAAACATGAACGCGCAGAGGGACGAGTCGCTGCGCTTTTCTTTAAAATTCTACAAGATAAATGCCTAAAAACAATTATTTGTTTGACTTTATAGTAAAGGTGTGTCTCAGTTGAACTTTTACTTAATAAATGCACTTCAATGATCAAATCAGCTGCATTTCGCAGTGAAATGCAGCTGATTTGACGTTTGCTCCAGGCAGACGACGGTGGCAGGTTATGACAAGTCGACTGTGTCATTAATTGACACTTTTACCTATTACATGATACAGCAGCATTCCATTCTACTTGAGTGCCATCTAGTGGCTGAAAATGGTAGTGTTCAATATTTTCAGTCTGAATGAATGAAAACGGTCACATCTCAGCCAAAAATTTGTTTATAAATATGGAGGAAAAAAAATCCATAAATACATCACTTTGGTGAATAAGTCACAGGGAATGCAAATTATGCAAAAAAAAAACACGACTTATAGGGCGAAAAATACAGTATAAGTTCAGGTCAGAAGTTTAGATTAGTCCTGCAAACGTCTTTCTAAAGTCCAGTTGGGTTACAGTCATCTCAGGAACGTCTCAGAACAAAGTGTGGTCAGCTGATTTTTGTTGCTGTTTAATAGTCTCCATCTATTCTTCTCTCAGATGACTCGGGCGCAGCTGGAGACTGTACAAGCAGAGAAGCAGCGTCTGAAGGATCTCCTGCAGCCTCGCTCCCCACAGGTCTGTTCCTGGATGTCAGCATCCACCTCACAGCTCCTCCTTACTCTTTCAGCCCACGATGCCTCTCGTTAAAAATGTCTGCCACTCACGGTCAGGTTATTTTCCTCTCAGTGGGACTAAAACGTGTTTCTCCTGAGACATGATGGTTTATTCATATCTGTCCCTTCAGCCAGCGAGGCCTGTGAATCTGACGTGAAGAAATGCTAAATATTAGCATATTTGGCTGCTTCAATGACTCTGAAGCTGCAGATGGAGGAGTAATGAATGAAAAGCTTTGAGACGCATCAGAACCTCCTGATCCAATTCAGCCCAACAAACAAAAGTGGTTGAAAATCAAAATGCTTACAGTGTGAGTGTTATGAAACTTCTGCCACATTTTATTTGACATTTATTCCTCCAGGTCCAGTTAAAACTGAACTGAAATTAATTCTGACATGAAACACCTTCAGTTTTTATTATTCTGCACACACGTGACGTATAATAATAATAATAATGATAACAATAATGATAACAAAGGTGAAAATAATAACTTACACAAAACGTTAGTGGAACTCCAGAGTTTTTGGTCTTTTCACAAACGGATCTTTTCAGACACGTTCTCCTTGACTTCTTGTTTGTCCTGAGGCAGTGAAGGGAAGGAACAATCCTTCTCACTGAATACACAACACGCTCTTATTTTGAAACCGCAGTTCTGTTTCGGCTGCTTGTGATTAAAGCTGAGAACAGTCCAACAAATACCAGAACGGAAAACATGTTGGAGAGATCAACTTTATCAGTGCAGTTCAAAACAATGTTCACTGCTTTACTGGACGTGTCAGGAAAACTAGATTCTACCAGAATGAGGAGGGTGGGTGACGGCAGCTTGGATTGTCTTCTTGAAGTGTCCTCAGTGCTTGTGGCTTGTTGTTGAATCCCTTTTCTCTCCTCAGAGGGGGGGTCCCTCTGCAGCTTCGCTGAGGGGGGGCCACATGTCGTCCCTGAGCTGCCTGGAACAGGAAAACCACCAGTTAAGACTGGAACTTGCCAAGCTGCGGCCTCAGCTGGACGCTTCGAACCAAGCCTGTCAGGAGAAGTATGAACGTGCTCTGCTCAGCCACGCCTCGGTGGACCGGCCACAGCTGGACCAGGACCGGCCACAGCTGGACCAGGACAGGTAGATGGCACCGCCAAATGGCTTCGAGTCAGAACTCTTGCAGTCCTGATTGTTATGGAACCCTGTCGCAGGTTTCAGGCGCAGGAGAACACCACTCGTTATGAAGGAGAGATCCAGAGGCTGTTTAAAAAGCTTCAGACTCTGTCTCAGACCCCCACGGAGCAGAACCGGGTCCACGGGGCTCATTCTCCCTCCTCCTCCTCGTCCAGCAGCAGCACCAGGCTGACCAGGAGAAACTCAGTGCCAGCAAGTCCCAATAAACGTGCTCCTGAGGGTTCAGGCTCAGAAGACTGTCAGACCTCAGGCTCCATGGAGGAAGGGGTTCCCTCTCCTTCAGAGGTTCGGATCCTGAGAATAAGAAAAGTTTAATAATTTAGTGAGAACTCTTAAAGATTAGTTTTTGTTTTTTCCTCCCAGGGGGTTCTGTCAGTGTCGCCTGCACATGGCGTGATCGGTTGTTTCCTGGAGGAGGAGCGCTTGCAGTCCGAGGAGCTGATGCAGAAACTGGACCTCCACATCCAGGGGATGAGAGAGCGCAACGCCAGGACAGTGTCCAAATACCGGACCGGCGGCTCAGGACCCGAAGCGGATCAAGGTTCTGAGCAGAGCGGCCGGCTTTAATGTGTTTGATAAATGAGAGCAACCTGAACAAGCACGATTCACGTGTTTTTTTGAACCGTCCAGAGGACCAGACTTGACTTTTTTAGATTTTCTACCAGGATTATTGAGCATGCATCAGGACACGATTCACTTGGTCCAACTTTAAAGTTTCACAGGCAGCAGAGCTCACTCTGAACATCCACAACTGCCCGTGATTTTACATGTTATTTATTCCAGATGTGCCTTTTGAGCTGAAGTTACATCAAACTGATGAACTGTTTTTCACCACTTCATTGTTTTTACGCCCGTCGACAGGTGGATATATTATGGAGCAGTCTCCACATATTTCCTTAAACTTTCTCTTGTCCCGCCCATAACTTATGGGCAGGACACTTGTCCCATTAAGAGACGAGTGGCGGGACAAGATGGTGGCCTGAGCAGCTGTGTTGTTTAAATGAATATTTACTGGCATTTATTTATTTATTTGCGTCGTTTCAGTCCACACTCATTACACGTTTGTGCAGTAATGCACCAAATTGTTATTTGCAACCACCAAATGTGAAGAAGACGACGGTTTGGTTGCAAAGATCCAACGTGTCCGTTTCCTTCACTGAGTTCCTGCTGGCTTCAACTCCAAGAAGTGACAACACTCTGGGGTCGCTGTGGTGTAGAGGTAGGGCAGCCGACTTGGGACCAGAAAGTCGAAGGTTCAGCTCCCTGCCATGCCCACATGTCGTGGTGTCCTTGAGCAAGACGCTTAATCCTTTAACTGGTCCCCGGTCCCACTGCACCACCTGGCTGTATCTCAGGTGTGATGGGTTAAATGCAGAGAACTAATTTCATCATCATATAGAAGCATACAGTGTTGACAACACGGCAACAACAAAAAAAAATCTGCTCAAGATACTTAAACCAAACTTCATACACAAAGCATCATCATCAGACTGTCACGTACACTTCATGACCCCAGGTCCAAGGTCAAAGTCACAGATCAAGATCAACAGTTATACAGATCCTTTCTATAGATTTCTGTATAATCGTTTGTCAAAGTGGTTTTAATGTACCGTCACCAGCTACAGTTTAACTTACTGTACACATGGGCCCATTTAAAAGAACAACTAAACAAGACTTTCTTAAAAAATGTCCAACTCCTGCCACTTTTCATGCCTGAGGTTGAACCTAGAAGATCTGATGAGAAATGATGGTGTTCTGGTCACTTTAGTCCAACTTTATCTAAAATCTCACGAGATGTGAAATCTGTTGGTGTGCTGTGACTGACTCTCAGCTACCACCATGTCAGAGTTTTACTTTATCTCTAAATCTGATTAAGTTATAACTACATTTGTTTTAGCTAATATTAATTAGCTGTGGCAGCCATTTTTAGTTGACTCAAAGAGTTATTAATCAGTTGTAGAGGTGATTACTGATGTAATCATTACTTTTTGATTTTGATTAAAATTTGACCTGTGGTTCTTGTGATATTTTTCTAACACTACACAAAGTACCCACACATGCAAAGACATTATCACCCTTTGGCCTTCAACTGTGGGTGATATCTAAGTTGATACAGAGTGTGTTAGATGGTCAGAGATTACCTCAATAGATGAGCTTTTGTCCTCCAATGTGAGAGTTGGGGGTTTGATTCTACCAGCAGTCACATGCCGTAGTGTCCCTGGGCAAGACACTGAACCCCTCATTTCTTCAGATGTGTGTCCCATTGGTTTATGGATGTGATAAAATTCTGATTAGTCTTTGTATATACATAGAGTGCTGTATGGTATGGTGTAGTATAGTATAGTAGAGTGCTGGCTCTCCTCAGGGATGTGTGTTGAGCCCCCTCCTGTTTACTTTGCTCACGTATGATTGTGCAGCTACCCATCCAGGCTGTCGCATTGTAAAGTTTGCAGATGATACAGTGGTGGTGGGATGCATCACAAACAATGATGAGTCCAGCTACAGGCAAGAGGTGGAACACCTAGAGAGCTGGTAAAGAGAATAACCTTCACATCAATGTGAAGAAGACAAAAGAGATGATTGTGGACTTCAGAAGGAACAAACGCACCTACACCCCCCTGAACATAAAAGGATCTGCAGTGGAAGTGGTCTCCAGCTACAAGTACTTGGGTGTACACATGAATGACAACCTCAGCTAGAGCAACAACACCACCAGCCTGATCAAGAAAGCTCATCAGAGACTCTACTTCCTCAGACGGCTGAGAAGAGCTGGTCTGGGAAGCTCAGTCCTCGCCTCCTTCTACAGGTGTGCAGTGGAGAGCATCCTGTGCTCCAGCATCAACGTGTGGCATGGAGGCTGCACAGCTGCAGAAAGAAAAGCTCTGCTGAGAGTGGTGAAGGCTGCACAGAAGATGTTGGAGTCAGTCTCTCCACCATCACAGACATCTACACCTCCAGATGCAGGAAGAGAGCCACCTGCATCATGAAGGACCTCACTCACCCAGCACACATACTTTTTGCCACGCTCCCCTCAGGAAGGAGGTTGAGGAGCATTAAGTGTAGAACCACTAGACTGAGGAACAGATTCTACCCTGAAACTGTTAGACTCATGAATCTCTAACCAGAATAATCACAGTGAAAAATCACATCATGTTGCTGCTGATCTGTTTCATGTTGCTGCTGATCTGTTTCATGTTGATGTGTTCATTCGTGCTCATCTGCTCACACAGACTCATGTTTGTGCTGCTGTTCGACGTAATGTTTTTATGTTATTAGTGCTTATTGTATATTTAGTTGATGAATTTCTTAGTTCATATCTTAGATCTTATTACTGTTTTTCTTTTAAATTTTATTGTTGGATGTAACTGGGACCCTGTGTGCATAATTTCACTCCACCACATGTACCACATGGGGTGTGAATGACAAAGAATCTCTGAGTCAGTATGAGCGGGTAAATGAGGCACAGATTGTTGTAAAGAGCTTTGAGTAAGATAAGAGTGGATAAGAGAAAGATTCTATAGAGTACAGTCCATTTACCATTAATAAATAAAATCATAATTAAGATTTCCACCATAATGTTGAATTTTCCTATCAAAGATTTTATGATGAAAATTAAAGTTGTCTCATCTATGTCTGTAAATAAATTAATTTTATTTCTATAGTTCCAAATCACAACAGAGGTCATCTCTGGGCACTGAACAGAAACATTCACATACGTACAAAATCCATTTAGTAAACGTTATCGACCTAAGGAAGGAATCCATCAGACGTGTTGAATCTTGACTTTGTTGCAGTCTCATGTGTTCCCATTAATGTGCATCAGAATGTGATGCACATGTTTGGGTCACATCAATAAAGTGAAACCTGATGACGTGTTAAGGAAGCATCTGTCCGTCGCATTGTTTCACTGACAAACTGACGAACTGAGTTTGAAAAGGAGAAATAATGTTTCCATTTAGAGAAAATGATGCAGGTGTCCATCTACAGTGAAAATAATTCATCTTTAATATAAGTTTTCCTCCCCTTCTCTCTTAGGTGCTCTCGGTTTCAGCAGCATCATAGATCCCCCCACACCCCACACTCCTTACAGAAGCCCTCCAACTCATCTAAGCACAGGAATGTGTGCACTATGCCAGTTCTGTCATGCTCCTCACCCCGTGGCCCGCTTTGTCTTCATCATTAGAAACATGATGGAATGTTAATATCAACCATGTGGAAGACTGAAAGGCCATCTATGTTTTACAGCTTCTCTAATGAAGGACACCCTCAGAATAAATAAAGGAAGGGAAAATCTCAGGAAATGCTGTGCATGTTTTACATTTTTTTTGTTCTTAAACTGTAACAATAAACCAAATGGCGGTGATGGTCTGCTGCCTGCGAGTCCTATGATTTCCCACTTTGGTGTTTGGTTGTTGGTGTCACTGGCACTAGACACTCCACGATACCAATGGCAGTTTTATACATGGAGATTTCTTTAAAAGGCTTTTATGCACAGGTTTACATAATTTATATAATAAAATTAATACATTGGGTTCCGTCCTGGCCGTGGAACACTGGACCAGCTCTTTAGCCTAATTATAGGATTTATCAAAAAGGAAAGTCTTAAGCCCAGTCTTAAAAGTGGACAATGTGTCAGCCTCACGGACAGAAACTAGAAGATGAGCAGAGTGTGACTGATTAAGTCATTCTTGTTAGGACAGTGTTTACTCTCAGTCCATGAAAAGCAAAAAAACTGTTTATTTAAACAGCATCAAACTGTGACTCAAACTTGTGTCAGCAAGATACACACACAGCTCAGGGCTCTTATGTCTTCAAATGCAGCCGACATGAGTTTTCTTTACACCGAGAAAAGCTTTGTTTTTATTGTAGTGCTCGGAGCTATGAAGCAGAGAATCATCCCGGGCCCAGAAACCACAGCCTCATCCATCATGCCCAAACTGATTCATGGCACGATGACGCCAACAGGACCACATCATCTGCAAAGAGCAGATATGGAATCCTGAGGCCATCAAACCAGTCTCCTTCTGCCTCCTGGATGCACCAAGAAATTCTGTCCATAAAAGTTATGAACAGAATCGGTGACAACAAGCAGCCCTGGTGAAGTCCACCTCCCACCCTGAAAGAGTCCGTCTTACTATCGGCAATGTGAACCAATCTCTTGTATAAGGACCAGACATCCCATAACAACGGGCTCCCAATCCCATAGTCACGGAGCACCCCCCACAGTGTACCTCAAAGAACACTGTTGAAAGCCTTCTCCAAGTCCACTAAACATATGTAGACTGGATGGGCAAACTCCCATGACCCCTCGAGGACCCTAGTGAGGGACAGTAAGAAGAGAGGCAGGTGAAGTGATGCACCCATCATGTCTAGTGCCTAGTCATCAATGCAAGATCTTGGTGAAAAATTAATGCAACACTGGATGGAAATGAAATAGATCTTGTGACATTGCAGAAGCTTATCGAAGCGATGTCACAGAGAATACATGCTGTAATCAAAGCTAAATGCAGTCCAACGAAACATTAGTGTGTGACATTTTTTTTGGTGGCAACTTTTTTGGGAGCCAGGCAGTGTAGATTTCATTTGATATTATTTCTATCTTAACATGTGATTCTTGACCTGCCATTGTGTATCTGTTCCTCTCAAACCCAGCCAGTTGAAG